AGCCTTGGATCTCAGCTGTCGAGCAGGCAGGGATCGGTTCATTGTTAATCAGTGTGCGCTAAGAATAACCAAAGTCCCTTGAATTGATGTGATTTTCACCTTCCCCTTCCCACGCACGACCTCAGCCCTAATTACATCACGAATCCCGTCCAGAACACATGATGCGCGTATACGCTTATTCGACATTGTGTCGATGCACAACTGCACAATTACGTCGAATCTCCGGGGGACAGATGTGGCGTTACTGCTAAAACGTCTAGCTGCCATGCAGGAAGAGGAACCCAACCGCCCCTTGCATAACATCCTGGTTGCTTGTTGAAGCTGTCCAACCAGAGCCGTTGGCCAACATCTCCGCTCCGCCCGCACTCGGCACCGGGCCTTTTCCCAAGCTACAGCAGCATAACCTCACGACGCCGTGGATTGTTTGTTTGTTATGCTAGAGGTGCCTTTGCTGCACGCATTTACATGCTACAGTATCAGCCTATCAACAACACGGTAATTGATTTCCAGGCGTGTTTCATTTTACCACCGTTTCCATGGCCACCTTTGCCACTTGAGGGGACGCCCATAGACTTGCAACCTGCCATTTGCTGCCATGCCAATCATGGTGTTGGTTCAGTTCATTTCTTTGCAAGTGAATTATTTCTACCTCATGATCTGCCTCACGTGCGCAGATGGCCGACATCATAGTCTCGGCAATTCTCTGCAGCCACAGTTCACGGCCCCCAATCCTCGGCAACGTAGAAAGTAAGGGCCCCCAACTCATTCCAGCATGCGTGAGAACTCAAACCTACACGCAATCATGCTCTATGCCCATGATGATCGAGTAAGAGAAATGGCCAGGAAAGAGCCAGAAGGGTAAAAATAATTAAGTTGCTTGGATCTCCATCATGCAGATCAGATTGAAGTGTCCGTAAATAGCTGGATAAACAGCAGTATCCCTACGAGACAGATGGCAGATGGACAAGGTTCGCACCATTTCCCGCTTTGTAATTTTTTCTCACACTTGAACATCACTAATCAATGTCATCTTAAAAAATTCAAGAAAAGTGGTGTCCCTTCAGTCTTCACGATGATTTCCCCGCTGGTCTATCAAGCTTTCGCTAATTATAGAATTGGGGAAGCGGACTATGGATCGCATCTCATTTCGCTCGGCAGACCAATTTCCTTCGACCCTCTTGGGTGGAAAGATTGCCAGACTATAGTGTGTAGGATCGCGTGTCGCGACAGGGTTGTGTTTCACATCTCGACTGGAAATAAGTCATCTCCGTGGCCTTTATGGCACAACAGGAAGGCATGGAGGTTTTCTGTGCTTTTTCCGTCCTCTCTGATGCTTCGGCCCATTCCGCATCCTGCTCAGGTATGCTATGCCCTAGCAAAAAAAAAAAAAAATCGGCAATCTTATGCTTGTGAAGGGATATTGGAGCACGTGTTGTCAACATTGACGCGCGACTGCTCTGCCTACCCTAAACCCGCGACCCAAACTTGGCTCCAAGATAGATGCAATAAACTGTCATAAGGTAGCTTAATTAGAATCTCTCCGGAAATTCGACATGTTATATTCATTGTGGCTCTACATAAGCTAGCGTATTTGTTGTTTTTCCTCTTTGATTGTAAATCTCTAAGTAATCCGATGTCTGTGTAGATTCAGACTGTCCATCTCATCGTGTATCATGCCTTTCTCGTATGAGATCCATCCGCCGTTCAGGAATTTTATGATTTTTATTTCATTTTTATCCTACTACCTAAATATCCAACGGCTTTTACCGATCTACTCTACGGAGGTATGGGTTCCGGGCTTAGAAGATTAGAAACAGGGCCCAGTCGCGTTTTACTCAATTGGCTTGCACAGATATTGAGGGTCCTGGATATTACGGTATATACCAGGTGCTACTCACTGGAGCTGTGATCAACGACTCCCGCTGACTCAGAGGGGTTGGAGAATTTCTAAACAAGGACAAAAATAAATAAATGTGATGAAACGTCCAAGAGCTGATCTCCATTAAATTACCGCCAGGCGGTGAATGACGGAGCTTCAAGTTATTGGCAAGTCGAGCGGCAAATTCGAAGAAATCTCACGCGCTAAACCCATTTCATTTCGTTTATTCCTGCCTTGTTCGAGGTAGAATCAACCCCCGGCTCAAAATATTGGTCACGCGAGTATAGGGGGCATGTGCTGAAATACATGGTATTGTGTTCTTGAATGCCTGTCTTCTTCCATTCGAGGAGAGCCCGGGCAACCTTGATGATATCGAAAATTGCTACAATTCGCTTCACCAAGGCCTGCAGTGCAACGCTGATATGAGCAATATCAATGGGTACCGGAGAGGAAGAGCCTGGTGGCAAACCTGGTAACTACTCTTACCTATAAAATTATGAGTCGGTTCGCCTGTGGGCCTCTGAGTATCAATACAAAGGAACCATGGATTGTAAACAGTGCCCCTATTAAACACTATCCATATGCAGAAGAAGAAAGCCACGTTCACCAGGATGGATGAGGGGGGCGATTTGGATAAAGTTTTAGCTAATATTTGGCTTCGTTCGTTCAATCTACCTAATCAAAGCACTTATTCTAAACGGAAGTATAAAATAAGAGAATATGCCGTCTCTACACATGTCCATTTACTTGCCCAACGGCAGGAACAGCAACGGAGAGCAAAGGTGCATGCTGAGCAGTTCCCAGAGTATCACGCTCTCCGACACTCCCTTGAGCCCAAGGTCTCCGGATCGTGCACTTCCAAGCTAGAGCAGGCTGGAAGTACATGTTCACAACGATATCCTCATCCTTGATTTGATACAGAGACTTGATTGTCTCGTTGGTCAAAACATTGGCCTGCTTAACACGGTTGAAGTGAGTCTCGTCGTCAAACATTATATCAAATGTCAGCTCAAAGGGCCCGCTGTTCTTGGATCTCACCACGCTGGCGATGTCGCGCATGGTGATGGCCGAGGTGGGCACTTGCTTCTTTGGAATCTCCTGCGGTGATACGCCGAGGAAGTTTTTGAGCTCATAAAACTGCTGTCCGTGAGACGGATTCTTGGTGTATGTCCCAGGACCGACATCGAGATAGTTGATGGGAAACAGGGTTGGGTCAGCCGCGTCATCAATGTCCATGAGATGGTAGACGCTGAACTTGAAAACGGCACCTGCATCCTGCTCGTGAGGGCTGAGAGGGCTGGCGAAGTTTCCGGTTGTGGCGAGGATGCCTGGGTAGTAGAGATGCAGGCAGGAGACACGGGCACTGTTTGCGATGGCCATGGCCTTTGCCGCAGTGGGTGCTACAACCTCGCCGAGAACGCCGACTTCGTGGCTGGGGACTGGATTAGGTTCTAGGGGTCCCATAATGGCGTTGCGGCCATAGACATGAAAGATAAGTCGGCAATTTTCAGACTTGTCGAGCTCGGGAAATAGACCCCGGGTGTAGTTTCGGACCCGGTTCTCGAGGAAGTCATCCAGTCCTGCTATGAGGATGGGGTCACGGAATCCACCAATGAAGATAGCACGGTGCCCGACTGGGGAGACACCCTCCAGTTTGACTTGATAGGTTGGAGTCGGGACAAAGCGAGAACCCCAGCATCTAACGGTACGCCCATCTTCTAAAACCTTGTAGTTGGCAGTGTCGAGGTGAAGCACACCCCCCGGCCCAGGAAGCTGGTCTGGTCGGGTCTTTTCATACAGTGAATGGGCTGCGACGGAGAGGGGCGTGCATCTTTCAATGGGGTTTAGAGGAGTGAGATCGAAGGAATCCTTGCGGATGGTAGCAATCATTGATCGACCCTTGGGCACGGCGCACTGCCCACCACATTCGAGGATCTTCCCTAGGTGGAAAGCAGGAGCTGCCTCTACCCCAAGGTTGATGCAAAATGCTGCAAATGGTGAAGGATCGTAGGCACGACCGGAAACGACGATGTCCGGATTGCCCTCTTTAAGGGCCTTGACAAAGCTGAAAAGTATGTTAACACAAATCAATTCACCAGCTATTGATAGGTGTCAGGGCAACCTACGGTTCTGGTCCCATCTGAGCAACAATGTCGACAGCGGTATTGACATCCTCTTCTGTCAAGGCCGGGACAGGTCCGCAGGGACTAATTTTGCCTTCCTTCATCTTAGACAGGATAATTTCCTTGCTGACGGAAGCGCCAATGGTAGCAACCTTGAACTTAAAGCCATTCTCTTCAATGATTTTGTTGATGATGGCAACAATCTCGGCAAGGTGTTTGTCGCTACCATCTCCGCCAGCACTACTTACCAGAAGTTTGATCCCGTAATGAGCACAGGCAGTGACGTATGGAGTCAGATCACGAATGTAGGACTCGTCTGCTACAGTCTTGCGACCCATGCCTAGTTTGAAGGGGCCACCATCTGTGCTGCCGGAGTCGATGACAATGGCGTCAGGGTGATATTCGTGGATGCCATACCAGAAATGGTCCGCCTTGTATCCATACCTTGTATTTAGATTAGAACGAAAGCTTCGTCAAGCGGTAGGGGGGATTTTTCTGCTCACCCAAGCATGGCATTAGCCGTGAGGATACGGATCTCTCCGGGCTCTTTTGCGTATCTTGGCTGGCCAGCCATCTCGGAGCGCGTCTGCGGCGAGTGCTTTAGAAACCGATTCGTTTTATTCAAGCACGCTTGATGGATTGTACCGGAGTCGGAATAAGCAACGCTCTTCAAGCTGCCGAATTAAGAGGGATAGAAATTGGTATAAGTATCCTGTTTGAAGATGCCAAAAAACTCGAATATTCGCTTCCTGGCTCCTGTTGTTCAGAATCAAACCATCAACGCTGCATTTCCACAATCGTATATCAATTCGGTGTCTGCCCGCAGGCCAGCTCGGCATTCCCCCGCAGAATCCCCCTCGGTCTGAACCCGCACTTCCATCCGCAAATGGAGTCAAGGTTTAGATGCCGCATTGGGAATGATGCGGGTTGGACTCTTGCGACTAAGTTAGCTTAGAGAATTGAGAAATTGTGGACAACTTCCCCCCCCATCTTGTCTCATGACCGAGCGTCTCCACCTCGTTCAATCAACTGCTGGGGTCATAAATCAGCCTTCTTTCGTTCATAGTGTTTGTTGCGAGCGGACACAGGGGCCAACACAATGTCGGACCAGACATCTCCGCAGCCGCTCCAGATACTGCCCGTGGCCTGTGAACAATGTAGAAGAAGCAAAAGAAAGGTTCGAAACTGCTTACTCTGATTCAACGTATATCCGTAGACTAAAGAACGGCAACAGTGCGATCGTGTGGCACCCCGATGCGGATCTTGTTCCAAATCCAGACGGAAGTGTACTATGCCTGATGTCTTGGAACAGCCTACTGATCGAACCAAACGTCAACGAATGCCGAAAGGGTGAATTTATTGTTTAGCTCTAAACATCTAGCACAAATCGCTAATTTGAGTCGTAGATTCGTTGAAATTCTTGAAGCAAGGGTTCAGCAGTTGGAAGATTCGATACAGAATCACCTCTCAGAACTCGAAACGCTGAAACAACTAAGTGATTCATCCTCGAAAAGTCAACCTCTTCTTACCGAATCCGCACCTTCCAATGAGCGTGACATCGAAGTCTCTACTCCCGTTGTGATGGTTCAAAGTGAAAGGCCCGACTCTCCTCTTGTTTTACCCTCATTAACACCTGGAAAACACGATGCCGTCACTGCTCCTGAGCATTCGTCTTCATCTTCTCGGGAGAAAGAAGCTGTCTACCCTCTTAGTGCGGAGGCTATCGTTTCGCTTAGCAAGATGAGCGAGAGTAACGAATATGGATTGTTCAACTCGACATCCGTTGCCTATGCTATGTTAGCTGCCGATGGTGGAAGCCCCTTTGGTTCATCCGTCTTGAGATCCAACATATTTCAAGACGATTCGCACATCTCTCAAGAGCTTGAGTTATCAAAGATGTTGGAAAGCTTCTTGTTAAACCAAGGCGAGACCCTCCTTGCTCGCTACGAAAGGAACTGTCACAGCCGGTACCCCTTCATACAAATGGACAAGTTGAATGGAACAATGGAGTCGTGCAAAGCACAGGGAAGCCTACAACCAATTCAAAGAGCGACCTCTGCCGAACGGTTCCATTTCTTCACCGTTATGGCAATTGGTCTTGCCATGGAAGGGCGAAGAATATCATTTGCAGGACAGATCGAAGGAAACTTGTTCATGGTGGCCATAAATCACCTTGGCGGCATATTTAGATTCTCCGATCCAATCGATCAGGTAAGAGGTTTATTACTTCTTACAATCTATAGCATGTTCAGGTCATCGACAGGAAGCACGTGGCATCTTGCTGGATTCGCCATGCGCATCTGCATTGCGCATTCATACCATACCGGCGAACATTCGGAAAATATCCATAAAACGTTCTGGTCTACGTTTATGCTTGAGCAAACCATATGCGATGCTCTCGAGAGACTCCCCAGTTTGGGCCACGTGGACCTTCTATCCCAGGTAGGTTGACCTCAGGGAGATGTCAGTTAAAATGGCTAATAACTCTCGTTCAGCCCTGTTACTCCAATAGAACTGGGAATATAAGCTCTGTAGCTGACGATGCTTGGTCTTATTGGGTGACCCGTAGCCAACTGCATGCAAAGCTGAGCAACAACACTGGGGTTTATTCTTCGTCTACACAATCCCTTTTCTCCATATACCAACTCAAAGCACGTCAGCCGGGTCTACCGCCAGAGAATGCCTCTTTGGCAACTTCAGTCTTTACGAAAGACGTAGACCAACAGTACCTTTCAGATCTCATTTCCTTTATTTCCCGAATCAACAGCACCCCATCTAGAAAACTCGACCAGTTCTGCTTATTTGTATCCGCCTTGACAATCCGCAGACTCACCTCCCTCGAGGACACTCTCCCCTCATGGCCCACAGGCATTCTTCTATTTAGAGCCGGCCTGATCTGTCTACGAAGCATGGGCGTCCTTGTCATAATTGAGGATAGCAACAGGCTCGACTTGATTCTCTCCGACACGCTACGCAAATGTTCTGACTATCTATCGCGTCTTTGTAGTGAATTCCAGGAATTAGCTCACTATAGAGTCATCTTTGACACTGCCGTCAGCCTGCATGACTGCACGACGAGTAAAGCAACTCAATGGACTATCACTCCCGAGATCCCCCCAAGTGTAGCGTCTCTCTCAGCGGTACTTGATCAAAAGCTCTCGAGGCAGGCATTTGAAGCAATTCAGGCGGGGGCTTTGCAAAATGATGCGTTTAACTCTGATATACATGCCGGGCTGACTCGGTTGGTTTCTGGTATCTGCTATGAATCCGACGAGGAACGTCAGCTATATGATGGGATATTTTCCTCGCGGCAATTAACCAACCTCGCTTAATAAAAGGAGGAGCTTTTCATTGCCCATAACTGTCCATTGCCAAAAAGTGCTTCCCAAATCTCCGTAGCTTCACCCCATTCAGAACCAAACATTGCAGCGGGGTCGTACGTCTCTGAGACACCATTCACCCCTAGGCCTGAGGCTGAGAAATCTGGCCACGACGCGGCCCCTGAAGTGTCATCCAAGTTGTTCCCGATAACGGCACAGTAACAAGGTTGCCTATGCTCAACAGGCAAGTGGCATGTCAGCGGTGCAGTGATCAAGCTGGAACCAAAGTAGTCTGGAGATACATCCTGCAGTGGTGCAAACGCGGTAGATATAGCACTAGCAGAGGCAGCACCGGCGTGCGTTTGAGGGACACTATGTTGGATAGCTTGTTGGCCGGAAGAATCTGAAGCTGTGGATTCTTGCACCGTCGACTTTGGAAGCATCCGTAGGGTTTCCCTGCAAAGTAGCTCAAAGTAGCCCACATATCTAGGCGTGAGATGTTGGTTAGTCATTTGTTTGGCCATGCGATCAAGTGTATCTGTGCATTTCCTCAGCAATGACTTTTTCTCTGATATACTCTGCCGAGATGGCGGCGGTCTGGAAGGGCCATTGTGTTGCTTGTCCTTGGTCTGTCCCATCTGATACTCGATCACGATGGTATACAATATCGAGAGACCGGCCGTCAGGACTCGGTAGAGCCTCCCGGCCGTGGGCTCGATTTTCGCATCGTCCGCAATATCCGAGTACAATACGATCACATTACTTGAGGCATCATATAGCTCTTCGAGTAAATCTCCTGGGTTGATGAAGTGGGAATCGGTCGCCGAGCTAGGCTCAATGGAAAGGCGGATGAGGAAAAGCTTTTCCTGGTGAAAGTGAAGATCGATCCATCTGCTATCATGCAGAAAGAGCTGCCCATTTGAATCAGGCGCGATATCCTTGTGTGTATGCATTCCGCTGTATAATCGCCAATTGTGCAACTCTTGTGAGTATTGGTAGTAAATGTTCCAAACCTTGCCGTTCAAGGTGAACCTGTCCAGGTCATCAACTGGGTTTCGTGACAATCCCGGCGAGTCTTGTGGGGTAAGCAGCTGATTTCTTAGAATTCTATAATCTCGGGACATGCGAGATGTTATCTGACGAAGCTGTATATGGGAGATAGCTACTGATGTATCAGTAAGGCCTTTGGGAGGTGCTTGTGCCTCGGTTAGCTCGTCCAGGGATGTGTTTGGGAGCAGAGTGGCCGCTTCCTGTAACACACTGTCATCTACATTGGCAGGAAGCTTGACAGTGATGGCCTCGTCTGGAATAGTGAATGGTCGGCCGAGGGTTGTGCTGGCATATCGCTCAAGCCCATAGCATTGCCAGAAGACGCGTCGGCGCATCTGTTCCTCGATAGCAGGAAGAGGGGCGGTTAGTTGACGATGAAAGCCGCACTCTATGCACGTGCGCATATTGAGCGAGGCAAGGTCCCACAGGCTCATCCCCACGTCTTGGAAAAGGCAAAAGCGTGCGACGAGGAGAAGATTCTGGACCCCCTGAATGCCGTACAGCATGTTGACCTGTCTGGCGCTGCGCATGGCGACAGAGAATAACTCGACAGGGCTGACCATGTTGTCGATGTCTTCCGTCGTTCCACGAACGAACGACTCTTGGTTTCGATACACGGCACCAGTCGCCATGATAGAGTAGGCCCGGAATGACTCCTCGGTGGTGAGGCGGATGAGCCCGGCGGAGCGAGCGGCTGTTAGTGTCTTCTCTCGGAGTGATATGATTGTCGCCAGCTCCATGAACGGATAACGAGAATGGGCTCTTCTGATATACGTTTCAAATACGCATTGAATGATATCCGGAGGCACGAGAAGTGTAGACGACGTGCTGTTGCTGGGGGATGGCTGGTCGGAATGCTTTTGCCAATTCGACAATGCCCTCGAGTTCAGCACTTCGCTCTTGATCTTAGCGAATATCAGGCCAATGAAACTTTTAAACCAGTTAGTTGGACATCTGAGAGGCACCGAAAGAGCAACGCGTGATGTCAAGTTACCCCATTCCATGCATTCCATGTTCGCTAATGGCCACATTTAATGTAGCTGACAATGGGCTGTCCTTGACTTTCCTGGTAACGGCCGAGGCTTCTACTTCTGCGACACTGTCTGAGGAGGTTCTCCCCAAGCGCAACTTCTCTCTTCTCACCAGAGCTTTGAGCTCGTTCTCGCGCTGTTCTAACGCACACACCTTGGCTTGGAGCGATGCAACGTATCTAGGAACGTCAATGGCTGGCTTATGTACTGAGGAGAGCGCACACTCACTGTCTATTGTAGTTCCCAGAGCCAGAAGGGCCAGTCACGACACAGTCGACGTTTGCCAGCTCACAGGGGCTGCACCGTGGCATCTGCCCGTCGCACTACGCCGCTGAGCAATTGGTTCTTTAATGAAGAACGAAGTATGGGCGGTGCTTGCTTACTTTGACCTTGCGGGCTCGGCATCTTGAGCAGGTGGGACGCAGTAAGCCGCGGGGTTGAGATGCCATCGATGGGCGTCCACGAGCTGCTTGCATTAGCTGCTTTGTGTATGCAAAAGATGGAGGGAGAGACAAAAACGCGGAGAGGCGGAGACAGGACTGGAGACTGGAGAATGTGGAGAGAGCACCACGAACTGGGAATAGTGACAATGTTAGTGGGCACCAGCAACCAGGCATCCAGGCCGAAACCCCGGCTCAAAGATTTGGTTTGCGTACTTTATTCTGTCCTGGGTTTTTATGTTATGGGTTGATGGTAATAAGGTTGCGAGTATATTGATCCAGATAGATTATCTATAATCCTCACAGTTCCTCTATGCACTATCAAGTCAACGAGAATTCCAAGCGGATGGCTAAGTACATGCACAGACAAGGAAACACATCTATAGTTAAGACATGCTCCCAATGAGTTTAATTCCTCTAAAATATAGCCATGACGTTGGATGGATTAGCAATTCCGTCGGGCAGATTCAGGCGGTTGGCTGGTGACAAAGAATGTCCAACGCCCAAGCTTGTTGCATCTCCTGGACAGCTTCTCTAGATCAAACTGCTCGCCAATTGGCATCCCCCAGCCGTTAAGAAATACTTCATGCAGCCGAATCCTATCCCCTTCTATCACCGCTGGCCACGATTCGTACGTATTTGAATCACCCGCCACAGCAGCGAACCCTGCTTGCCAGTGCCATCGAGCCGACTCAACGCTGCCTGCGACTCCCATGTATTTGCGGTCACTGCCTTCTCGAAGACCCAGCATGTCCTTGGCTGGCTCGTCCAACGCGTTATACTGTAGCCCGTAGCCGCTCCGCACAAATAGAATGTCTCCTTGCTGGAATTTGATGCCCCGCATGTCGGCAATCTCTTGCAGCTCCGTGTACGGAATTTCAAACGAGTCGAAGGCATCATACGTCTTGTTTTTGGATGCTGCGTAGTCTGCCCAGTCCAAGAGCACGCCCCTGGATGCGAGGGGACATTCGGCTAGATCTACAACGTCCAACTCAGTCATTCATATAAGCTTGTTTTATAAGGAAGTCAGCCAACTTTGTATTCCAAGACGATTGTTCTTATGAGGACCGGCAACATCGCTCTGTGTACAGCCGTTGTAGAATCGCCTTCCTTCTCGGTAGGGATAGTGACGAGGGCCATCCCAGTGGGTGGACGATTGTGTATTGATTATGATCTGCGCTTCTTCAACATTTAGGGAACTAGTCGCTCTCTATATGACTATACGACTTTGGTACTGACCTCATCATCGTTGGAATATTCCTTGACGATGATACGGTGCGATAACTTGGCTCTTGCGGGGTTCATGGGACGAATAGGCACGTTCAGGGGTAAGCTGAGGCCATGTTAGCATTTCTCATCCTCCTACTCTTGTAAGAGTCTGCTTTGCTGTGATCTTATTTTATACTTGAGTTGGACAACCTCACTAGTCCTTATCTATGTTTGAGCGGCTTTGCGTGTGATGTCCGGGGTGATGAGATTAGTTCTGCCAAGCTCATCGTCTTTACCCCAAAGCCCCCAAGTCGAGTATGGGGGATCGGATTCCCCCAAGGGGAGTTCGTCAAAAGAAACCGTAGTAGGGCTTCTTTCCTGAATTTCGGCCATTGGGAAGGATTTAGTAGGTGTCACTATGTAAAGGTGGAAATAATCGTTGAGGCTTCGTCTTCTCTTGTTGCGAGCCTGAAATTGTTCGTTTTGAATGTGTTCTCGTCACCGATACCATCGGATATGAACTGGACTGGTATTATTGAACACCACCGTAGGCATCTTTCTCTAAAGAAAACCTAGAACGTTGTTATATCGACCGGTGCGGAGTAACTGAGTCATGAACAAGTTGTCGGCACTTCGCCGTCCACTGGGAGGGAATAACGCGGGGAGAAGTTGTCCGCGTGGACACGATGGATCCATTATCCACGACCCCAGAAGCGCATGACACGATCAAGGCTTCGCCCCGCAGTCCCCCAGGTTCGGTCTGGTGCCGCATCTCGAGCTAGCCAAGCAAGGTGGGTGACATTGAAAATGGCACACCAAGGCGCTCTCTCAGGTCACGACTTAGCAGAAGCCTGCTTTCTATTCGCTAAAAATAGCCACCAAAGCTTATAGAGTAAAGAATTAAAGCACAAGAAATGAAATTTAAACATCAGAGATCATCTCTATATTTTTATTTTATTTTATTTCTCTGAATTTAATGGTTGAATTGATTGTTGAAAGGGCTGATATTTAGGTGTGCCATTTCCAATGTCACCCACTTGGGTGGGGGGCTCTCGCCGGCGGCAAGCCCATGCCTGCGGTGCTGCGATAGCCCCTTGAATGGCTAGCAGGATCGTCTTATGAAGAGAGCTGTATAACTGTATGGGTGATGCTGGACTTGATGTGTGTATTCTCTACTCGGTCTTACCCCGCTCTGGCTGCTACAGACTTGTGCAGTGTGAATGTAATCCGGTCAGGTGACTGGCTAGGTAGCCCTAAGTACAAGATACCTAAAATGAACCGTTCCTTGCAATAGGTACCAGTAACAACTCCGCACGCTTGAAGTAGCCTAGACTTCAGATTGGATTGAGCAGCTGGGTTGGTATGGTCGTGCGTGAATATCGAGTTTCCCTTTGCAGATATAGCGATAAAGCAGGGAAAGAGGGTGGGCCATTGACATCTGGGGACGCGTTGCGCACTTCTATGTATTTCGCGTATAGAGCTGTAAAGAGCCTTTGCCTAGGCAGTTAGTTGGTACCGCTTATCGAAAGGTGGTGACGCAACTATCACGTGACTGTCCATGTCGACTCGTCCGGCCACCAGCCACCACGTGACCTGCCCTAGTGGTGCTCCACGTTTTTTGGGTGATCGGTGCAAAATTGACCTCTTGGCAATTATCGAACTCAGCCCTGGCAGATAAGAACACGGTCAGCACGTCATGGCATCTGGGAAGACACCCGCAGAAAACATGCTTTGGGGTGGCCGCTTCACAGGTTGGTTCTTCATGGAAATTCAAGTGCAATATACTGACCTCAGAATGGACAGGCGGCCTCGATCCCCTTATGCACAAATACAATGCGAGTATTCTGTACGACAAGCTCCTATATAAGGAAGATATCCTCGGCAGTATTGCGTATGCACGCGCAAATGCTAAGTCTGGGATCATATCTAACACCGAGTTCACTGAAATCGAGAGAGGTCTCCAGGAGGTTCAGAAGGAGTGGGAGGCAGATACCTTTGTTATCATGCCCAACGATGAAGATATTCATACTGCCAATGAGCGCCGGTTAGGTGAGATAATTGGCAAGGACATCGCTGGCAAACTACATACGGGTCGCAGTCGAAATGAGCAGGTTGTCTGTGATATGCGTCTGTGGCTTCGCAACCAGATCCAGGAGATTGAGAGCCACCTGGTTGCCTTCATGAAGGTTATTGCCGCCCGCGCTGAGGCCGAGGTGTAAGTCTGATTATCCTCCAAATCTAGTAACCCTCCTGACCTCGATAGCGGCGTTATCATGCCTGGATATACCCACCTCCAGCGTGCCATGCCGGTTTTGTGGTCGCAGCATCTGTTATCATATGGCTTTTACTTTGCCAACGATCTTGAGCGGCTGCGCGAGACTTCAAAGCGTGTGAATAGGAGCCCACTTGGTTGTGGTGCTCTTGCTGGCAATGGCTTTGATATTGATCGCGATATGATGGCTGAGGAGCTGGGTTTTACAGGCCTTGTATTGAACTCCATGAATGCTGTTGGTGACAGAGATTTCGTGACTGAATTTCTGCAATGGGGTAGCATGCTCATGCAACACATTTCTCGATGGGCTGAGGATCTCATTCTGTATTCCTCTACAGAGTTCAGCTTTATTTCTGTTGCTGATGCCTATAGCACTGGAAGTTCGCTAATGCCGCACAAAAAGAACCCAGATGGCTTAGAATGCTTGCGAGGAAAAGCTGGTCGAACATTTGGCCACATGGCTGGCCTTATGATGACCCAGAAAGGCCTACCCAGCACATATCAAAAGGACTTGCAGGAAAGTTGGGAACCTATGTTAGATCATGTGAAGACTATCTCTGATAGCCTTCAGATCGCAAACGGTATCCTTGCTACCCTTACTATCAAGCCAGAGCGGATGAAGGCTGCCCTAGATCCATTTATGTTGGCTACTGATCTTGCTGATTATCTCGTACGAAAGGGTGTACCTTTTCGTGAGACACACCATATCTCTGGGCGATGTGTCGCTAAGAGCGAGGAGCTGGGCATCCCAATGAACGAGCTCTCACTAGAGCAACTACAGGCTATTGATAGCCGGTTTGGGGAGGATGTTTCAGACACGTTTGACTACGAGAGAAGCGTTGAGATGAGATCTGCCAAGGGTGGTACCAGTCGGGCACGTGTCCTAGAGCAGGTTAAGATTCTTAAGGATATGCTAGCTTAGAGGGGTTTGATAGCTTCGAGATTCAAAGGGCAATGTATTTGGAATTTAATAATACCTTATTTTCATTCATATGAGTATGAATAAAGGGCTGGCAAATGATGTAAAAATATAATTCAATTATCACGTTGCTAGTAGGCTACCTTGCTTCTTAAGCTGGTGAAGCTATAACAGGGGCTGGGAATGCCGTTGGTTGGATGGGAGATTTGATATGTTCAAGGAAATTAGATATACGCTGTTCCAAGTTTGCAGCTACCGGGTTATGGGCTCGAGAAGACTTGATGGAGTCAAGGTCCCGCCGATGGCAGTGCTAGAAAAATGCCCACAGGCATTATCAATAAGGGGCGCCGAAGTGGGTTGCTGAAAATAGCATCTGCGAGTTCCGCCTCTGCTCCCACACTTGATCGGAGCTAGCCATAAGACACTCTTTCAGAGGCCGATGAAGTGCCGCGACAAATACAGAGCCGTGCGGGAAGAGCGCAATTACATCAATCGCTGAAACCCAGGTTAAACAATTCCTCGATGTCTCTTTTCTTATCTATCTCAGCAAGGTTGATCTGGCTTCCCTCTCGCTTTTAGCGCCCATCGGAATTTTCTCAGTCACAAGGACGACCTTAGGGCGCGGATTCTCATTTCTAGAGGCAATGTAAGTGCTCCCTTTTCTTGAAGTAGATTGAGCTCTACTACGCCAAGACCTTCGGATGTGTTGTTCACATTACCATTGATATCATCACCCTCGTGGATTACGATTATAATTAGGCGTCTTGGTCTTTGCTTGCCAACAAGCTCTCCAAGAGCGGATATAAAGTTCAGCCCGTAGTGATATTGAACCGTATGTCTTCCAGTACCGGGAGAAGCCATGTTCTGAGCAGAGACAGGGTCTCCTTCCCCTGCTATCTCGTGACAAATGCGCATCTGAGCTTGATTTTCTTGAATTGCAGGCTCCCCAGTTGCTATTTGCCGTCGTTGGTTGGTCTTAGGATGGAATTGATGAGCCGGGGTTGAAGATGTACCCGTATTCACGGTCTAAGTTTGTCAGTTCTGATTGAAGATGATCGGATCTTGAGAAAGTGAGTATGTACGGAAGGCCTCGAGCCCCTTGGCGAACTTTCAAACCGGCTCTTTGGTTGACGTTTCGATCCATCCTTTGTACTATAGAGTTCAACCTAAATTAATTCAGCTCATGAAAATGATGGACATTGTAGTCTTCTCATCTTCTCGAATGGCGCAGAGGCCGTGCACAGCTACTGCTGCAACCTCTTTGGGACACATCGTCCGCACGGTAGACCCCTCGTTTCATAATCGGTCTGGGAAGCAGTGTTGGGTTCTCGTTCGTTTGCCTGCTTGTAGCTATTGTGGCAGGGTACCTCTTCCGGCGGTCAAACAGCAAGCGTCTGCATGAGGCTAACGACGACAATGTCAAGCTGTACGCGATATGAGAGTCCACTCTGTACCTTTTATCATCGCTTGTAAATACTGGAATTGGAAACCTGGGTTTGCAGCTTTCGAGCTGTTTATGTAGATTGTTGTGGTTTCATCGTCAAGCCAAGTATTATGGGCACACTCTGGTTTGTGAGAGTACCTAAAACAACAACATCATCCTCATCCTTCATAGGCTTGGTGAAAACACGCAGCAAAGCGATATGAACGACTGTCAGTGACGTGGCCTTCCCTGATGTGAGTTTGGAGTTTCATAACATGCACCTCATTCGGCACGTTTGCCGTAAAAATTAGGCAGCGATGATTCGTAGGAACCAACACACGCACGAGAAGTTCTTCCTTCAACTTTTCCCCTCTTTCATCACAGTCGCTGAGGAAGTTGCCATCAGAATCCTCGGCTTTTAACACAGCGCATCGTTCATTCACTTTTTCGCACCCTCGGATCTCACAAGGCTTTGCTGCAACCTACCGCAACCACTCATACCGACAAGGCATCCACCATGCCTGTCACCATTCGGCCACAGCCTGAAAAGGCGGGCGTCAATACGGATCGCGTCGTGAGCTCCTCTGGCGAGCTTCTTGCCGTCACGTCGAAGGAGTGGACTGCAGCCAGACCTGGGCGGACCAACAAACGACAGGGTCCCGAGGACCGACTCGTTCTGCGCTCTTCTTTCGAGAATCTCGAAGCCAGTAGCGCCAGCATTATTCCCTACAGCAACGCCCTCGTGGATGGGATCATTCGAGCCTTTGAACAGGACCTTCACCTTGTGCTCCGACCAGATGATGTTTGGTTGGCTATTTTGGTCCAATTCAACTTCTACGTCAACGCAAATGCGGAGGATCTACGACACCTCTTTGTCACCCACAAGGAGAAAGAACTTCTTGAACTCGACATGCGCCCCGAGCCACTTAGGGACATTGATTTCCAACAGGCTTCTGAAAAGTTCATCGAGCTTATGAAGCCCTTTCTTGTGGACGAGAGCCTCTCCGAATGGCTTCTGCCGGCATTCACCACCACGACCGCGAACGACAAGACAGTCGCTGCCCTAACTGTGATGTCTACGCTGAAGAAATACTTCGACTATACCATCCTATGTGGCGGATGTGGTTTCCCTTCTGTGACCTTGGAAGGTGAGAAGAAGGACTGGGAGCTCCTGGCAGCTAAGATCCGAAATCTTGCTGATTATGGAGATGAACCGGCCGACTGGTCCGTATACCTAGCCAAGGTCGTCGAGAAGATGATCGAAAGCTTTGACAGGCCTGATGATGACAACGTCAAGGATTTCTGGATGCGTGCTTGCCACTCTGCGGGAGAGTCCGGTTCAGGGTCGACCGAGACCCTATCAGGATGGCTTACGGCATTTTGCTACTGGGGAGATGATGGTGAGCGGGTGCATCACTGGCCTGATGAACGCCTCAAAACATTGGTGCCGAAAGTTAATCGTAAACGATTAACCCTTGATGGCATTCCGTTCCCGGTCATCTGGCGCCATGGTGTGCCCAAGGCGGTGACGGAAGTGCCCATCGTCGTGAAAGACTACGACACGTGTATGGTGCATGAAACAACCGTCATCGCGGGGCAGGTGGCCATGAAGGGTGTTCAGATGGAGGACGAGTCTCAAATCACCCATGTCCAGCCGATGTCGGGCTGGTGGATGTTGGAGGACAAGACATATCCATTTCCGTGAGCAATGCCGCAACTGATACACGCCCACTTCAAGATACATCAACAGGGGCTGAGCAACAAGCAGAGGGGTGGAAACCTGGTCGTTGATGAGGAAAAGCGGGTTGTAGACAGAACTACCGAACAAAAGACTAATGAATGTACTTTGAGGAGAACAGTTCATCTAATTCAATGAATTAACACATCGTTGTATGCCTCTTCCTCAGTTGAATGATCCATAAGGTAATTGGTGATGGAGTTGATACTCATGGACAATTGAAGATGTCCCCTGAGAGGTTTACCCTTACCCCACGACGACTTCAACTTGCTAAGTTATGCCGTAAATTCCCTAAAAAGGCTTTAAGAGAGCTTCTTTTTCAGAGTGGCTGACATTAATCTTCTTGAAGTCTGTCGAGACTTGGGGCGAGATTCACCACTAAATACCTAGGTATGTTTGAATGGGAATTCTGCTTGGATCTATACCGTATCAAGACGTTGAATTGTTAGTACCAAGATCTGGAGAATAAGTGATGGGTCATCCTCTATTGTAAATTCTCTATATATTATATGTGACATGGAAGGCTTATTACAATCGGCTTGAAGGGTATATTAAGAGGCTTTGATTTCATTTCCGAGCGTTCTGAAATTCAGCTGTCGGAACATATTATGCCTCAAGCTGTGTCCCGTCCTCCGGGGAAATTGCCCTCAATTCTCCAACTTGCTGAGCAATGAGTCCAGAATCTCCTCCAAGTGCTTCATGGACAAAGTCAGATGAGCCTCTTCCTCAAATCTGGAGTACTCAACACCGGGCATCAGCTTGACTGCTTGATCAGCCATCGTGATCGGAACATTGCGATCCTTGGCGCCATGCCAGACTTCCAGCCTACCATCGATGGGTAGATCTTCTAGCTGGAAATCCCAAGACCTGCCAAAGATTTGCGCCTCGGTACCAAATCCGCTGGTGCCGTGCTTGATGGCTTCTCGCGAGCTTCGTGACAAAACCTTGAAAAGCTTACCGTCCTCCTCAAAGATAACCTCTTGGTCCTCCGCCGGCCATCTGGAAGCTCAAAGGACAGGTCTTCCGACATCATCCAGTGCGTCCGGCGGGTTCAACGATGGTGATGGGAGGTTGTGATGGTGAAGACTTCGAGGGTATGCACAACAACGGACTTTTTAGGTAGGTAATCTCCGGACGGTTTAGGAGAAGTAGATTGGACTTCGAAAATATCCAAATTGAACAGTTTCGGCCAGGGTGTTCTTCAAAGGGTCGTTTCAACATGCCATGGGTTCGGGGAATAGTGCCTAATATGGACTTGGATGTTACGCTACAAGATGCTGTAGAAAAAAAGCCAAGAAGATGACACCAGCCCTGGGATTTGGTTTTTCCCTGGTCCTCAATTCGTGTCTTATCCTCCGTGAACCGGTTCCTCAAAAGCAATCCCAGTTATCGGTCGTTTTCTACAGCCACCCAATCCCGACTAATGATTTTCGCTTTCCACCTTTTGAACCGCCATGCTTGCGTATGACACTGGCCAATCCGGGGCTGCTTACTCCTTGCTAGAGTACTAGCGAAGCAGTCCGTCCCAGAAACACTCGGGGAGCGAAATTGTATTGTGTCTTGAATAGCTGCGGGAATCAATATTGCGACCGACAATGTCAAGCTTATATTTCGAACCGGCGTTGATAATGCTGTGCGATGAGAGCGTTTTCCCCATGGAAAACAAGTGCTCAGGGAGTGTTTGGGGTCTTTCTTTAGAAAAGATTTATGGCATTGAGATATTGTCAAGTTTAGTTGCTGCGGGATGACATGAATGTTTAGAGTTGAATTGGCCCTTGAGTCTCCAGTAGCTGCCACGACTCTTGCTAAGATCTGGCCTAGGCCAATATAATGCAACGCGCAGGCTGTTAAACTGGATTGCTACGCAAGGCGGTTTACAGTTCTCTGCATGTAAGTACTGCTTACGCTTCCCCGCTACAAAGCTAGGGAAGATCTCCATGAAAGTTGTTGTGGGAGGTATCCTGTCTACGATGAGGGCCTTGGAAATGGGTCGCCATGAGGACTGGGATTGCCTCCTGAGACGCACGTGGCTGCGACGAATGCGTGCTGTCGAGGATGATGAGGTAGAAGAGCTCACGGTCAGGTGAACCAGGGGAGTGTCGCAGGTCATACCCATCTCCCCACCTTTTCGAGCGAAGACTCAGACCAACTGGAGTTGAGGGGTGACCGACGAGGATGAGGAAAGTATTTTTGGGGGAATTGGGCGAAGAACATAGATGATGTTCACTGATTGATCATTGTGTCAGGGTGGTAGGGACTTTTGCAACTGTGCGACAGAAGAAATGAGACACTAATTTGAAGGTTGGTTATGAACAGAAGAAGAATACGGCGATATAAAAGGATCTAGGCTGATAATATTTAGTGTTTTGCTTCTTTAGTATTTATTATTAGCACTTAATAGTCTGACAATACTGGTCGTAGACTAGAAAATAAGTTGTATATTGCTTGAGTGTCTCAAATTTATTGTCACCCATTGAGTGGATATGCCACGCTGGATGGAGTGAGTGAGGCGTAATAACATCGATCCTACTAGCATAAGCAATAACAGGCAACACGCGGCCAGGTGGGTACTTCCCTCGATCCGACTCATCGCGATCCAAGTTCTTCCTAGTTTCTACCTACCCATCCAGGAACCTCGCCCAACTCCGCCCGGCTTTTCACTGCTTCCAGGTCTTTGCAACCATTACCATTGATTTGCGCCATACCGTGGTCTTGGCCGTCGCTGTACACGACCATCTCGAGCCGCTCGAAAGCCCAAAAGTCGCTCATCAGGCCTTACCCCGCAGAAGGACTTCGCTGTCACAGCCATGGGTTGTAAGTGAATAGCGGAACCATACATGCCCAATGGAAATCGAAGATTGGCTGCATTCTATGGTGATGGGACAGGGCATCATGGCCATATCAGGCAGCTCGAACATCTTCGATATGTTAATTGAACAAAGCTAACGTCCGCTGCTTACCATAAGTCTCCGATATCTTAGAGCGCTTGCAGGCCCAACCTGAGAGCTACAGCAAAAAGTATAGATGACCTCTATGTCCTAAAATATTCAGCTAACATCATATCTACCAACAGAGCCCAGTACAAATTTGGTCGAACCCTCGGTGCCGGTACATATGGCGTCGTGCGCGAGGCTGAGGGCCCAACCGGAAAAGTAGCTGTCAAGATCATCTTGAAGAAGACAATAAAGGGTCATGAGAACATGGTATACGAAGAGCTTAAGATACTGCAAAAGCTGCATCACCCTCATATCATCAAGTTTGTTGATTGGTTTGAGGCTAGGGTTTGTTGAGCAATCTTCCCTTGCTTCCTCTCGAGTGCTGTGAGGCTGACTGGATTCCGTGCAGGATAAGTTCTTTATCGTCACCCAGCTCGCTACCGGTGGGGAAGTTTTCCAACGAATTTACAGCCAGGGCAAGTTCACTGAAAAAGATGCTTCGCAGTTAATCAAGCAGGTCCTCGATGCTGTGGATTATCTCCATCAGAATAAGATTGTCCACCGAGGTATGTGGCACCCTCTGCAACCTGAACTCTTGTCTTAGGTAGTGAGAGTTTTAAACCAATATCTCATTCTTTCCTAGATCTGAAGCCTGAAAACCTGCTCTTTGTCACAAAGGACCCGGATTCACCAGTTGTTGTGGCTGATTTTGGTATCGCCAAGACGCTGGATTGGCAAGAGGGGCCTCTCCAAACACTAGTTGGATCATTTGGCTATACAGCCCCTGAAATTCTAAACCGTACGGGTCATGGCAAGCCTGCGGATATGTGGTCTATCGGGGTTATTACGTATACCCTTCTCTCTGGTTACTCCCCTTTCCAGAGTGATAATCTCCCGGACTTGCTTGAAGAATGCAACGCCGGCTCCATTATCTTTCATGAGCGGTATTGGAGGGATGTCAGCGACGATGCCAAGGACTTTATCATGAACCTCATCGTCCCTGAGCCACATAAGCGTTTGACAAGCGAGGTACGAAAATCTCCCTTTAACCGTTGTGTGGTCCCTGCATTAACCAGACTTTCGTTGAATAGCAAGCCTTGGAGCATATCTGGGTTAGCGGTCTAACCGCAAGCGAGCACGACTTGCTGCCCGATATCAGCCGTGCTTTGGAGGCACGCGCTAAACTTAAGCATGCTATCTTGGCCGTCACCCTGAAGAAGAGAATTGCGGCTCTGAAGGAAGCTGAGTCCGACTCCGATGACATGGGCGACGTTGAGGATGGAGTGCCTTCCTCTGGCGTCGAGAAGAAGGACGGTGCTATGTTCCGCGAGGTTGTTTTGGGCGCGGTTCGAGACAAACGAGCAAAGGATGATTTGGCGGCAGCCGGAGAGCAGGAGCTAGAAGAAGCAAGGAGGCGTAGTCGGAGCCGAAGCCGAAACTAGAGAATAGTCCTGTGTATGATGGTGGAGGCTTATGGTAACCGTTTAGAAGGATGGCGCTATCAGTTTGATTTATCCTTGGACTGGGCATAATGATATAACTATGATAGGTTGGACAAAATGCACAGTGGTCATTTGGCTAAACAGTATGGGGTGATTCCTATTAATCAGTATGTCACTTGAGTGTTGATCCCTCAGTAAGCTAGGCTACTAGACGCGGAGACCTGATGGCTTACATGTAGATCCTCCTAAGCTAGTTCTCGTTTAAATCGTATCCGGCTCAATTGCGGGCCTCGCCTGAGGCTTTTCATGGAATCCAAAATGTGGTAGCTATCCTTCTGATGTTTCCTTCTGCACCTACCAAGCTGCTTCACCTGTCTCCGGATTACGCGTCGTGGACTGTCAATTCACGCAATTGATATTACGTCCGATCTGCTACTTCTATTAGATTCCTACTTTACTGGGAACAGCCAACTATTTACCAGCCAAGCAGACTGTGGTCTATTTCTGTATCTCAAATTAAAGAGGCCACGGATCGTATATCCATGTTTGGGGAGCAACATTAATATGGAGCCACATAAGTTAAGCTTGGATCTACCATCACGATGCAGGGACACAGCTACAGATGTTACGCAGGCTCTTGATTCCACCCCAATGTCGGCAAGACTGAATAGTATCCTACGCCAGCGAGAACCGGGAACGAACTCGGGGCAGTTGAAAGACGAAAGAATTGCCGCCTGGATCCAAGGCAGAACAGATCAGCATTGGGAGGTTCCTGGGCAGGAACAGCCAGTGCAGCAGATCACGAAATTGTTCTTATATGGCTTCTCTGGCTGTGGGAGGACAACCTTGACTGCATCCGTCATAGAGCACCTAATCAGTACAGAGTGTACAGAGAAACAGGGTGTTTGCTACTATTTTTGTAGTAGATTTCATCAAGGCACCGAGGATCCGCGCAACGTACTCAGAACACTCATTTCTCAGCTCGCTCAGCAGAATGAGTCTGCATTTGACGTTCTCAATAGCTATCTGAACACCCGAAAAGTTCCTCCGGAAAGTATAGATCATCATTCATGTAGTCTAGAGGATCTTGGGACGCTCCTGGAGTCAGTAATTCGGCACTTCGAACGCGTTTTTATCATTATCAACTCAGTCGAGGCTTTGTTACCGGACAATGCGACTCGCCTCCTGTCGCTACTTGCAGGACTTTCTGAAAATTCGAAAACGAACGTTTCATTACTGAGCACAGGTGCTGAGCAACCAAGTCAACGGGTGTTATCCCATGCACTGAACTTTTGCCCAGTTTACGTTCAGGGCAGACCCGATGATATCCGGGTATATGTACGAGCTGAGCTCAACAGGCGTGTTGAGCGGGGTGACAGTGAGCTTGAACAGAGACATTTTAAAACAGCCATCGAGAACTACATCGTCGAAAGGAGCAATGGAGCGTAGGTTCCAATTACCCTCACCATCGAAATTGAAGTTCGGGCTGTACCTCAACTAATTAAAATTTCTCAGTTGGATATGGGCTAGATGTGAACTCGACAACCAGTGTCACAAAGCCCTTCAAGGCCGCTGGGAACAACCTCCTACCTTCGGACTAGTTGACTCTTCCGCACATCCTTACCTGACCTATGGGCCCAGCCAGAATGATATATCATCTGCGATATTCCCCTATGGACAGTTCTTGAATGAAGTGTGGAAGAACGGCGGGCCTCGAGCAAATTTTATTTTGGTACGGTTGTTACGATGGATCCATGTTGGAGCCACAATACCTAGCCTCCAATTTTCTATCTTGGACATGTGTGGCTTGCTATCAATCTTGCTTTTGTACCACAAAATCGAAGACAACGCTCTAGACGCAACCGTGAATGAAGAAGAGGTAGTTAGGATCGGCGGACAACTTATCCGCATGGCTCCGGACAACTCTACCATGGAGTTCAGTCATGTCACCGTGGAGGGGTATCTCATATACCACCTGGACGATAACATGAAAGAGTTCAGCCTTGATGGCCAAATTGACAGCGAGATGATTGATGAACTCGACATAGTAACTTCTCAGCTGGAGTGTACTGGCAGACTCAACGACGCAGAGGCTATGATGCTGAGGCTCATTCCATGCCGTGAGCAACTATGGGGTCCCACTGGAAATCCAATCCTTGCAGCGTTTAACAACCTGGGCCAGTTTTATGAAGAGCACGGCCGCATAGAAGAAGCACAGGACTTATATACTCGTGCTCTCAATGGATATGAAGCTGCCAAGCATCCAAATAAGAAGTCCATGTTCAATACAGTCAATAACCTGGGCATACTCTATAAGAGACAGGGGGTGTTTCGGGAGGCTGAAGCGTTATACAAGCGGGCACTTGCCGGTAGAGAGGAGTTGCTTGGCCCTCTTCACAACGACACGCTTAGTTCGATGCATTGTCTTGGACTCTTGTACGCAACAGAAGGCCGTCTAGACGAAGCTGCTCCTCTCTGGGAGAAGTATCTCCACGCACTGCAAGAAACTAAGGGGTTTGAAGACCCGCAGACTATAGTTGCAACATATGATCTCGGTACGCTGTATAAAAACGATGACAGAATCGACAAGGCAATGCCATTGTTGGAACGAGCATTTACCTCGTACGAGCGTACCAAGGGGCAAGATGATCCAGCGACTCTTGATTCCCTAAACACTTTAGCTACAGCTCATGCCATGAAAGGCCAGTACGAAGAAGCAGAAAACCTATGGAAAAGGTTGCTCGAGGTCCGGCAGAAATCACCAGGTTCTGATTTCGACTCGATCCTGACCAAGGAGAATCTAGGGCAGCTCTACTCGCGACAAGATAGGCTTCAAGAGGCCTTGGAAATCTATCGCTCTGTTCTCCAGGGGTACAAACTTCATTATGGATCTGGTCATGTTGCAACTGGGGAGATGTGCAGCACAGTGGCAGAACTGTATGAAGAGATGGATCTGTTGGACCTTGCAGAAGACATGCAACTACAAGCATTCCATATATTTGAAGATTGCCTTGGCTCGGAAGATATAGCAACTGCTACAATGGCAGAGAAGGTAGGTTTCACATGTGCAAAGCAGGGGCGAATAGATGAAGCAGCCCCATTCTGGGAAACAGCACTGCGCGGTTTCGAGAAAGTCAATGGGGGAGATCACCGATCAGTATTGGGACAAATGGGAAATCTGGGGCGTGTTTACAAAATGCAGTTCCGCCTAGATGAGGCCGAAGCAATCCTCAAGCTTGGCTTCGAAAGGTCAATGCGAGCTTTAGGTCCACAGGACTCTCTGACACAGAAGATCGGCCAGGACTTGATTCTTCTGCATGAGAACCAAGAGCAATCGGCAGAGGCTGAGAAAATCTCTGATTTGCTTAAGTCATAAGAGCTTGGGATTTCGAATTCATCATGGCTTCGACCAGACAGTAACACCATGTAAAGTCTTCGATCATAGAGATGCAATAAATAATCTCAAATGGGCTTTTTCATGTTTTGGCCATTTGTTTCAATATTATACGACCTACAAAAAATCCTGGCTTCTTTCGTTTACCGGTCGGAAAAGACGGCTGTTTCATCGTTGTTCATTCGATACAGTCGGCTAGATCGGCTGGCCCCTGGCCCCCAACCCCGAAAGAAAAGAGGCTCTTTGGTTTCAAAGTGGCCCATTCACTACGCTAAGGCAGGCGCATAATGGCGATCTACAGCGTATCAATGCATTTTAGCGAATGTTTTCCAAGTCGGAAACACTGCCTTTGGAAGGCCATGATGATCATGTAACACCAGTGTGATCCCGGTGTTGATGCTCGCACTTGAGGAAAACTCACGGGCCCCCTTTGTCGCCAGTTCCAATATATAAAACGAAGGGCAAGCTGCTGAGTATGCCCAGGTAGATTAAAACACTCTCTAGTTCTGCATCAAGACATTTCGCCCTGGCATTTGGATCTGTGACAATGCATTTTTCCAACTTTATCCTTGCACTGAGTGCAGCATCTTCTGTTGCTGCCAACAAATTCTCCTATCGAAGCCAGCACCCGCATGCAAGGTCATTCAAGAGAGACGTCTCTGTGAAATCTGACGATGCTTGGGATCATGTCGTCAAGGGGTCCGACCTTGCTGTGTCCGAGCAGTCAGCCACAGCCTCATCTGTTGACAAATCGAGTTTCCATATTTCCAACTTCAAGCTCCGTGCCAAAAAGCTGGATCCATCAAAACTTGGCATCGACACAGTGAAGCAATACAGCGGCTACTTGGACAACAATGAACAGGACAAGCACCTTTTATACTGTAAGAAACCTTCGTTATCTGCCCTGGCATTGTCACTAAGTTGCTCATCTGCGTACCAGGGTTTTTCGAGTCAAGGAAATGACCCTGCTAATGACCCTGTGATTCTATGGCTCAACGGCGGCCCAGGGTGCTCTTCTCTCGTCGGCCTATTCCAGGAGCTTGGTCCGGCCAAGATCCTACCAGACCAAACAATCCAGTCAAACCCCCATTCCTGGAATAACAATGCGTCTGTCATCTTCATCGACCAGCCTGTCAATGTTGGGTTTTCGTACAGTAAAACAAACGACACTGGTAGTACCGTGGCTGCCAGCGATGACATGTATGCTCTCTTGACTCTGTTTTTCCACGAGTTTCCGGAATACGCCAAGCAGGACTTCCACATCGCTGGCGAGTCGTACGCCGGCCACTACATTCCCGGCATCGGCTCGAGGATTCTCTCTGAAACGGACCGCAACATCAATTTAAAGAGTCTATTGATCGGAAATGGCTTGACGGATCCCCTCACCCAATATGCTTACTACCGCCCCATGGCCTGCGGAGATGGTGGCTATCCCTCTGTTCTTGACTCTCAAACTTGCGAGGAAATGGATAGTGACCTCCCCGCTTGCCAGGATTACATCAAGAAGTGTTATGATGGAGATGTCGAATCATGTCAGGATGGTTTTAATTATTGCAACAGTCGATTCATCGACCCCTATAGCTCCGCTGGAAACAACGTCTATGATATTCGAAAGGGTTCGTCAGACGTGCCTACCGGCGCCGACAAGTGGCTCAACTCCCAGGATGTGATGGAAGCACTCGGTGTGGAGGTTGAAGGCTACACCCAATGCAGCAACGAGGTCTACTCTCTGTTCGAGCAGTCGGGAGATTGGATGATGCCAATCTACCGCCGCATTCCAGATATCGTTGCCAAGATTCCCGTCCTCATCTACGCCGGTGACGCTGACTTTATCTGCAACTGGCTTGGCAACTTTGCTTGGGTCAAGGGACTGGACTGGACAGGAAAGGAAGCGTTCAACAGCGCCAAGGCCGCGACCCTGAGTGCTGCAAATGGTTCGCAATATGGCGAAATAACGACTGCACAGAATCTGGCATTTATCAAGGTCTTCAAGGCCGGTCACATGACACCGACTGCTCAGCCCGTGGGTTCCTTGGATATGGTTAACCGCTGGGTTCGTGGCGAATGGTGGAACAAGAACTAGATATTGTATTTTATCTCCATTACAACACCGGCAACATATGTACAGCAATTTGCATATTGTATTATTCGTAAATTTGTCATTGTTTGGTTTGATGCGCTGTGTGAAGTCTGTTTGGCTAAACTACTTTTTCAACCTAGACATAGATATGGATAATCTGAAGTATGGATGTAAGGATATGAAGTGGGTGTATCGAGTTATTCTAGAAGCCTCTGAATGAGAAAGGTCCATGCACTTATGAAAAAAATCGAGACATGTTTACTAGTTGGGGTTTCTGCCCTGGATCGGCGGGACACACTTGTTGATCCAAGACCAGGGCATTTCATTACATTAGTCCGTCGAAAGGGTTCAAAATTGCGACCAGTAGGTGGAGAGGCTTTAAGTCGAAGGGAGAGAGTACCGAAAACAAGTCTACATGGCTACAAACTTGGGCTAGTAGAGCTTATTTTTTAACCTTTCGTATTAATTGTGTTGACATGTCGGGTCAGGCATCTTTCATTGCTGTTTTTTACTTTGTACTCGAACTCTCTTCATCGTACCGGAAGCAAGACAAACAGCGTTTGTGTAAATTAGTGTATTTAGTTAGCTGAAGCCTGCATCCGTACAGAATTTCGTTGAGGGTGTCGGAATTCCTTCACAAAGGTCTACTCCGAAACTTGTGTGTTTTGCCATATTGGCCAAACCATACGTTGCCGCAAAACAGTTTTTCGGGCATCTTCAAATACATGGGCACGAGGAGAGATATAAAAAATACATATTATTGATGTTATGCATAGTTAGCAATAGAGTGTACGCGAGACATGTGATGGGGCAGTTTCGACTTGTATTTTCTCCCTACCAATGATTATTATCATATATTCGGCACCAATGTTGCCCGTATATTCTATGGATAAGCACAGGCCGTGGGTAGTCGATTTATGCTAAATCTCTTGCCACCTCTCATTCAATTTCCCTTGTGAAGGAAAGCATGGCGGCAAGAGCTCACGATTCGTCCAGATTTTGATGAACATCTTGCCGATCGGTGGAGTATGTAACGTTTCGCACACATCAGACGAAATAAAGGGCCTGGTAACCATGTTCCGGACGGCTAGTCTGCATTGCGGCTAGTAATGTGCAGTACCTGTCGATCCAAGCAGACACGCAATGCAGTCATGCGCTGTAGGCAACAGAATCATGTCCCAGTTCTGAAGACGGCACATTCAAGCACTTGAGACAAAGAAGCCGTCCATTACCACATGTATCCATCACAAGCATGAATCGAGTCTACGAAAGTTCCAAGCCAAACTAATGGCAGCGTAGCGGAGAGGAACTGACAGGATAATATATTTGAGCCTACGTGGACGTCCTGTGGATAGGGCAGATGTCACCTTCTTCATCAATGCGAGTTTTGCAATATTTCAAACACTAGTCATATGATGTGCGTTGTTCAGCGGGCTCTTCTTTCAATTTATGTGATACCCGTCTTGTCATGACGCGTCGGAGTCTGATAGGGACCTTCCACTTTCAGCACCAGGCAGATAAGTCGATTTGCAATAACATCCTTGACCCTTGCCGCTGCCAAGAGAAGCAGAATACTTTCCAGGGAAAACAGCTTATTTGCAATCCGGCATTTGCTGCGCACCTTCATGTTACGTTACCCCTGCCAGCCAGGCACATTTCCACTCGCGGAAAGTGGGAGTTCTCCTTTGGCGTCTAGAGGATCAACAAGAAGCAAAGATTTGCGAAGATTGCGAGGCTTGTCACAAGCCTAACACATGTCTAAATGCACGGGAACTAGACGATACCCCAGAAAGGGTTTGATCTGAGTGTTCCCTTACCCAACTACTCCGTACTGACATGTTACATGAGGCGTGCAGGCTTGGCTCCCCTGCATGAATTGGTGGCAACCTGTCAGCATTCAATTGGAATGAACCTCTTGAATAAGTGGCATTGCCCGACACCGTGCCGAATTAATTAATCAATTCAATATGCACAAGCCGAAGGCAAGGATATGCTGGCCGCCGCCACTTGCTCTGTCCGTGTTTCAGCTATACTTACATGTTGCGCCGAAATCTGGATCTCTTGACCCGTCTGATGTGCTGCATTTCCTAATGCCGCAAGTGGATTGCCATTAAAAGGTGAAACATACCAAGACGCCGAGTACTGTGCGGCTTCTCCAGATTCACTCGGGCACTTCAAGGCAGCATCATTCCCAAAGACGAAACACGTTCCCACCTCAGTTTGGGCCACTCGCCCACTCTCGCTGAGCCGCTTCTACTCGAGTGGTTACAGCAACCCTCCAAATGGCGATGTTGTAGATACATGAACTTCGGTAAAGTGGAACAACTGGGCGGGAACAGGGTTTGTGTCGTTTCAGCAACGGAGATCTAGCCCAGATGAAGAAACTCAAGTAGATTAGCAGATGCAGTGTCAAGACATGTAATGCAATGTGATGGCGGTAGTGTGTGGTAACCGTGGATATCCTTGTGTTGATTGGTCGGGACGATTTCTCATGCTACCGCCGGTCTCCATCTTCCTTGAGTCAAGTGTTCGGACTACGTGGAGACGGATATTTTATATGGCATTTCACTTTCACCTGGTGCTGAGGCAAAAGGTATAAGTATCGACAGAAATCTTCCATCTGGTTGGGGATCCTTCTTCTTCAACCATCAACCAACAAACAGTCCTTCCTTCGAAAGCAGTCTCTCCTTCAACTGAATCCGGTCATTCAAACTCGATTATCCCGCCATTTGTTGCCAGTCGACAAATCTTGTATATCCCAATATTTTACTTATTCGATTAGCTTTGCCGGAACTCAGCTTTTCAGCCCATCAAGATGAAGTTCACAGTTGCTGCCTCTGTCATCGGCCTCTTGGTCGCTGGTACCAACGCCCATATGGAGATGAGCAACCCTCCTCCATTCCGCTCTAAGAGCAATCCCTACACCACCAACATCGATTACTCCATGACCAACCCCCTCGATCAGGGCGGCAGCAACTTTCCTTGCAAGGGCTACCACTCACTCATCGACACCGCGCAGGGCGCTTCTGTTGCTACCTGGACTCCTGGTCAGGACTACAGCATCTCGGTATCTGGCTCGGCCACTCACAATGGCGGTAGCTGCCAGCTCTCGCTCTCTTACGACAAGGGAAGCAGCTGGACTGTCATCCACTCATTCATTGGCGCCTGCCCTCTCAAGGAGAAGTGGGACTTCACCCTTCCCAGCGATGCCCCTTCTGGCAGTGCCATCTTTGCCTGGTCCTGGTGGAACAACCTTGGTAACCGCGAGATGTACATGAACTGCGCCCATGTTACCATTGGCTCCAACTCTAGTGCTGCTTCCACGAAGCAAGTTGACGCCGGCTTCTCCAGCCGCCCCGCCATGTTCGTTGCCAACGTCGGTAATGGATGCTCAACTGTTGAGACCTATGACGTTGAGTTCCCCAATCCCGGCCCTGATGTTACCCGCAGCGATGGAGCCAAGCCTAAAGCCCCTTCGGGAAGCTGCGGCGGAAGCAGCAAGAAGATCGCCAGAGCTTTCTCTGCATGAGCGGTTGATGAGCTTGAGCATGTTGAACATGCGAAACCACATTGGTTCTAACCAGTCTGGCTAGACCGCGAGCATTTAAGCTGGCTACACATCATTCGCTTGGTTACGTTTTGTATATTTTGCTTCACATTTTGTATATAAGTCATTCGTTACGATAGATGAACATATCATGTATGAGACCATTTCTGTCAGCTCTCAAGTACCGCGAAGAGACGGCAATACGATCATTGCCACTTTCGTCGAAATTGAAAACCTCCTATCGCCTTCTATGTGTAGAAACTTCAAGTGGTCCTCATATATTAAGTACCGGCAGGTCCCTTCTTCCGTAGGATCGTCGGCATTCAGCAATCCTAGCCACCCCGGGTATCGCATCACTTAGGAAGGTGGCTCAAGGGTCGACGCGGCGCCAAGAATACACCTATCACTTGTCCCTATGTGAGTTAATCCTTTGAGCCTAATTATACACAATCCAAGTTACCTACCTATTTTTACGAATATACCTCTTCTTAACGATCAAGGGGGCCACACGTGCGGAGAGCCATGACCGAACACAACCTTTGTGCGCCTTGAATTTTAGCCGCGGCTAGCTGTACTGGTGCTCTATTGTCAGTTGGTCGTGACCGAGCTCTGAGTTTAAGCATCATGTGTCTCTGATTAAAGAATCGAAGGCTTGTCCTGTCGCAAGCGAGAGCGGCAAATTGATGCATCTTGGACACCATAGATTTAACAAGTGATAACACCGCGCCATCTCAGCAGGCTTGTTCATAAAAGTGTACTTGGCCGGCTACAGATGGTTCAAACAAGAGCTATTCCTCGCCGAGAAAACTCTGGACCGTGTGTTTCACACCCAATATTATCATTTCATTCTTCAAAAAGCCCCTGCGCATCAGCTCGAAAGTGTCGACATTTGGCCGTTCGAATTCCGGGTCAAAGTAGCATTTTTGAATCCCGATGCCATCTCTGATCTCGGGGTTTGTTTCCAGAAACGGGTTTTCACCGTCACCGTACAGAAACTTGTTGACCTCTTCATCAACCCAGACAGCGTATCCATCTCCTCGGAAGACGTTGTCCTCCTGCCAGCCCATCGAGACCTTAGGCCTGTCAGCTGGGTCCCGCCCACGCCAGCCCAGGTTGTCACGTAAATGAAAGAGTAGATCCCGGTGCGAGCCATGGCCTTCTTGGAATTTGAGAAAGCTGAGCTCAACGGACCTCAGCGTATCTGGAAGCAGGGATAGCAAGCCCACCAGGTCATCCATTCGTACGCTAAAACCTGAAAGACCCCAGTGACGGAGCCTCGGCCAGCGCTCGACAGGGAAGATGCTCAGTAACGGAATGAACGGCTGTTCCTCGCCATCATCAATCCAATCATCAAACTCTAGGTCGTACGTCATGTTAGTTCTCAGACTGATGTGCTCTAAATCCGATGCCTGGCTGAGCGCACCATGGAGCTGGCGGTTACGAAAGGCGGGAAACCCAAGGTCTGTCTGCCCGCTGAGGATCAGAGCAAGGTCGAGGCGCCGGAATCCTGGCTTGAGCAACACCGTGACGAGATCATCCTGTTCTGAACATGGCTGGTTAAACATGTGGGCGTTTAGGCCTGTGTTTAATAGACCAACGTCAACCACAAAGTCTGTGATGTGGTGGTCCATCCGTGCCAGGGTCCAAATGATGATGCGGTAGCCTCTCCATCTATTCTTCTCCCTCTCATCTATCTCATCCGACGACCATTCTGTCATTCTCATCCTGCTGCTTGGCTCGCTGCATCGCCAGCCACGAGGGATAGGATAGTTGAAGCCGTACGGGAGAGCACGAATCATAGGAGTTTGGTAGAGAGGCTTGAACGGCACCCCATGAGCGGCGGGCGTAAGAGTAATTTGCGTAAGCGACGGAAAGCGCTCAAGGCCATACCGGAGCGCCAAGGCGTCATCCGAAGTCTTCATAATCTCTTGCTGCTGCCCATAGAGCTCTTTGTAGTGATTCCACATGTCTTCGATAGGGGGCTGCGCGGCAATCCAACTCGCCCGTGCAGCCCGGTTTGGGGTCTCAATATCTTGTTTTGAAAGAGCGCCTTCACTGTTTCTGTCACATATGTCCTGGTACCATTGTTGCCAGAAGGGTTCGATGTGATGAGCCCTGTGCTCGCATCGGTACGCACGAGGTGGCTCCGGAGGAGGATCCAGGCGGGCGTCGTCCCAGATCAACTCGGCCACCTTTTTTCTGTAGATTTCGTGGTCTGCGATGGCCCTGAAGACCTCGATGTTGCGTGGGTTCGCCGAAAGAAAGACGCGACCAATCTGCAGCAGCACGCGCTGGCCGAAAACCCTGCATGTGAGACGAAGGCTCTTGCGGTCGCGGTTGCTCAAATGCGACGCAACTGAATCGAGAATCTCCGCGGGGAGTCCGAGAAGCGGCGAAGGTAGAACAGCCGCGCACATTTTCTTCTTCTTCTTTCTTCCCAGAGATGCCACCAGGCTGAGCAGGTAGGCCCTGGTGCTTAGGTGAGGATAAAGGAGAAGGGATGCGTTCATTTTGACACACCGGTAATATGCCAGAGGTGGCAAATCCCGGCCAGCCTAAAACAAAGACCAAAAATATCGCGTTCTCTGATTGGTGCTGCCTTCGGCCTTTTTAAAATACATCTAAGGAGGATAAGGCATCTTTCTTGGACGAGGAAATCTAGAGAGCGACACGCAACCACAAGATCCGGCTTCTTCCAAAGAATTCAATTTGGTCTAATGACTCCCAAGGATAAGAAGTTTACTTCCATTCTCAGGCAGTATTTTAGGAAACAATTATCTCTAACCATCAGCAACACTTTGGCCCAATTTACTGCATCATCAATTTCTTTTCATATTCGATGGGGGGGCAACACCACACCACATCATAGATTTGCGAGTCGAAAATGTAAGCTAACAACTACACCAAAATTCAAACGGCATTCCACAGCAGCTATACAACTAAGGTTTTGCCTCATGTGTGTAATCTCATTTAATCAACCAGTTCATGCTTTCGGCTTCTCAATTAACCTGTTGTAGCGGCCTCAAAATCACGAAAAGACACATCGTCTACGAACGGGAATTTCAACAGAAGATATTAAAGGAACGTGAAAAGGTTGTTTTACTACAGATAACGAAACCGGCTAATTTTTCACACCTGCGCTGTTTTACAAGTGGCCCCGACTCAGTATACTCGATCTTTTATTGTTGTTTCGTTCTTTTCTTTTCGACCCCATCTTATCGTTGTTGGTTCATTCCTCGTTTTGTTTTTATTTGCTTTTTAATCTTTGTTTCATCTTCTTCATAAAGACTTCAGATTGCGGTGCCTAACACGGAAATTCAGTTGATCTCAGGCATTCTCAAGAATAGATATAGGACACCTTTGAGTTGACCTGTGTTTTCTTTATCCAGGATGATATGGCCATTGTCTCAGAGCTATCTTGTGTCAAAAGAAAGTTCCGATTTCACAAGAAAACTTCATATATCGGCTTTTCTGTTCTTTGTGAAAAAACAATGATTGGTTTTCAACAATGGCCTCGGGCATTTTAATTCATGTTAGTTATCTCGACCTCTATGAACTAGTTTTGACCATATGCTACCGAAATTAAACAAGGAAAAAATGTTTCTGGGGAACAATTACGTTCTGCGGCCATTTGGGAGCTATAAATCTCCCGGTCTAAGTCCATCTGCTGATCACTTTTGGTCTTCACTGTGATCAGTGTCTTCAAAAATCCAGAATTTCGATCATACACAAGCGGAACAGCGAACGAAGATTAAGAAAAGCCCAGCTCACCAGATTTGGACACAACCACCAGAATGGAGGGTTCTACTGACTCAAGCACGGCTCAGCCCGTCCCCGCAAGTCCTGATGATATAATTCCATCCACAGAAATTGCCGGACCTGAAGAGAATGAGCCGGGTTCACCAAACAGTCCCGATTCACCAATCCAATCATCCAGGACAGTTTCAGCCGAGCGGGAGGAAGATGAAGAGAATGAGTCAGACTCACCAAACAGTCTCGATTCACCGATCCAATCATCCAGAACAGTTTCAGCCGAGCGGGAGGAAGATGAAGGGAATGAGTCAGACTCACCAAACAGTCTCGATTCACCGATCCAATCATCCAGAACAGTTTCAGCCGAGCGGGAGGAAGATGAAGGGAATGAGTCAGACTCACCAAACAGTCTCGATTCACCGATCCAATCATCCAGAACAGTTTCAGCCGAGCGGGAGGAAGATGAAGGGAATGAGTCAGACTCACCAAACAGTCCCGATACACCAACCCAACCATCGAGAACAGTTCCAACCGAGCGGGAGGAAGATGAAGTGTCTATCGAAGAAACGCCAAGTCCCCCACCTACGGCGCCAGAGGATGAAGAAGAATCGACGATGCGTCAACGCCCGATAGTATCAGGCCACATTCCTCACGGATATCGTGGAGTTTTTTATCAGCCCACGATTCCCGGCCCTTATCCAATGTATGCACAGCCCATGTATTCCTCTGCATTCCCCCCACCTCGGTCCTTGTGCTATATCCAGTACAGCCCCAGTATCGAAGCGGCAAGAAACCAGGAACGTTGGGATTGGCAACCGCCACCAGTGAGCAGCCCACCACCGCGGCCTAGACTGGTATCAGGAAGACAGAGGTGGTATGACGCGGTCAAGGAGGTTGATACCAAAGACTTCGCGCATACCAAGACAAAGAAGGGCCATGCGTCGTCGCCAAAGTACTATCCCCCAGGGCCGATTCCCTTTGCTTCCCCCACGGATCCGAAGCCGACTCTACCCTACCTGGCACCCAGCCTAAGTTCAGGCCGCCTTCCCCCGTCCACGTATGCGCCAAGCTATCCTTCGAGTGGTGGACCGTCAACCATGGCGAGGAGCGGCCATCGGCCCTGGTCAGTGTACAGTGGTCCGTCTCTCCATTTAAAAGGCCATCGGCAGGAGCCATATGAGCCTTGGATGTGGCGGAGGGTCGGGCCTGCACCCATGGCGCCCAGGCAGACCTACGACGAGCAACCTCCCCGCAGAGAAGCGTCCATAGAGATCGAGCCTTGTGTCGATGGACTTGGGGCTGGGCCAGCTGCACCAGAGCCGCACGATGATCTGCCGCCTCGTGTTGAAGAGGCAAGTGGTCCGGCTATCTCCGCGCCCTCAAAGCCACGCGGATCCCCCCTGCCAAAGGTGCACGTGAAAGGCCACCGGCGGGAGCCCTATGACGCTTCGAAAAGGCCTAGGGCAGGGCCAGCACTAGCCACGGATGAGGTGCACGACAATCAACCTCATCCGGTCGAAAGGACGGCAACTGAAACATCAGTTTCTGCCGATGAGACTAACGCAGCTCTACCTATTCAGGAGAAGAAGCCAGCGGTAGATAAAGGCAAAGCGGTATGGAGGCCCGAGACAGACGGCCCGCCCGCTTGATAACCGCTGTCAAGGGAAGCAAGAACCGGGGGCAAGTCCACGACGTAATGACTTAATGAAGGCGGGTCAAGAGCCATGGGGCGGCGCAGGTAGAAGCGTGTATTTTCGGGTAGTCGAACGGAGTTTGCATAATTCGGATGGGTTTCATGTGTCCTTTTTCTTTTGTTGCTGCTTTCACTTTTGCCAGCGTGCTCAATATACCCTCTCTTTTATTGTTGTTTTCAAGTCTGCTAGAAGTTCCTATGACGTCTCCTATGTGGGAGATGTGACCTTCATGCCAGTCCTACGTGAACGAGAAGTCCTTCAGGGACAATTTGACGAGCTACTAATTTAGTAATGACACAAGCCCCGGATAATTCCAATCCAACTCGAGTGATTCGTTCAATCTTATTTTATGATCAACAGGCGCTGTCCAGCTAACAGAAAGTGACGAAGTACCTAGAATATGGCCCCCAACCGCGAATGGGTCAGTGTGGGATGCCGATGAAACATAGACATGTCAAGATGCGGCATTGTGGCACATGCGACACGCGGCAGATTCATGCCAGACAACGAGCGAGGTGGAAAATTCAGGGCTGGTGAGGGGGGAATGATTGAGCCGTCCGACATTACAAGCGTGCAAAGCAAGATAGTTTTAATTCGCATCGCTGCTCGTCCGACGAAGCCAAGCATCGTGTAGACAGTCAGTCAATCTGTTTGTAGATAGCCTTGCATGTGCAGCCCTTCCCGCCCCTTGCATCCGATGGACTTAGGATTTCTACCCGCCACTCGGGATCTTTGGAAGGATTTAAAGGCTTCAGCCAAGAGTAGGAAAATCCTGCCCAGCCAGGGATGTGACTGCTCTCTTGAAGTTATTTCTTTGAGTGATAGGGGAGTCATCCACCGTACTCTCCATTGCAAAGGGTGACACTACGAAAGCCAGAAGAGTGCGAGTATTCGTGACCACGTTTATTCATTTATGGTTGGTGTTCTAAAAATTATCAATATTGAATGCAAAAATCGCTAAGCCATGCCAATGAAGGGAATCAATCGCACAAGAATTCAGCTTTGGGTGGACCGCCCAAACTTCTGTCCAGACCTTTTGTCTTGCCCTAAAACACCAAACCAAACCAGGTGCCTCCCACCTTTCCCAAATTCCAAACCAATGATACCCGAACCATGTGCCCCTCTATTTTCTTACAGAATCGCCAATCTCGACTGGGGCGTTATTGCCAGGCAGCTCGCTCGGAACTGTGGACTGTAACTCGCTTGGGGCCGAGGATTGTGCGTATGCCCACTGCGGTGGGTATGGCTGGGGCGGAAGATATGGTTGAGCGTTCTCGGTCGAGCCAGTTGGGGGAGGTACGTATGAATAATGTTTCAGATGGTCTCCCATGGGGGAACCGTAGGTCGACGGAGGCTGTGGTTGCTGCTCCCCGTACGCAGGTTGGTATTGTAGGTGCTGTTCTCCAGGTGAAGGCTGGTATTGCGTCGTCTCGCCCGGCGCCTCGGGTCCCTGGTTGGCATTCCTCCGTTTCTTGAGGAGCAAGACGACCCAGATCAGTAGGCCGATGATGGCGAGACCGGCGAGGCCACCGATGATAGGACCGGCAATCCATGCAAGATTCTGGCCACCTCCGCTGCTGTTACCGCTATCCGCACCGTCGGTGGGAACCTCAGTTGTCGATGTTGTCGCACTCGCGATCGTGGAAGGGATACTGCTCGATGATTTGGTTGATGATGTTGTAGAGGCTTTTCCTGTGGTTGTCGCCCGGAACATGGGGGGTCGACGAGCGGACTGCGAGGGGAAGCAGAGATAGTAGCTAAGGGTGGTTTGCTGCTCGAGGTTGTCGAAGATGCTGTAGTAGGAGCAGGTCATGGATGACGTGCTGCATTACACGCGTTAGATGGTGGCCAGTCTACTGACATGTCGAACCACAGCAGGCGGGACTCACCAAGTTCCACTGGCGCCATTGGCAAACTTCATGACGGACGAATTGACGCATGCCGTTGGGATCGGGTTTCCGTCTTTCGTGACGCAGCCACCGACATTGTCGATTTGGGTCCAGTATCCCACGCCGCACTTTGATGCGCTATCTGTTCAAGGAGAACCATGGTCAGCGCATCCTCTGTTTCTGATGTTCATCTATTGGGGGTTCTACATACAAGTTTCGTTCTTTGACATGTACCCGATGAAAGCCGGGCTGGTGTTCTCAGCTCTGAGCTCCATGGCGGCAAGCTGTGGTGGCGGCGTGATGGTGGGCTCAGGCAGAGCCATCACGGCTGAGGCAAGGCCCAGAGTGAGGACCTGGAAGATGACCTGCATGGTGAAGATCATACAAGGCAATCAATAACCACGATGGGTCGACCGCCCTATCTCTCGGGGATGATGAAACGATCAATCGAGAAAAATCAGTTTGAGCGCAGGTAAAATCCACGGCCTGACAAAGATGAGCGGGCACCTAGATTTTGTTCAACCTGGAGATTAGCCAAGCCTTGCAGTTCCACAGATGCCAGAATACTGGGACCTTCAGTACATAGCATGTACATTATGCCGTCTAGGCCTCAATCAATTGGGTCCGATTTAATGGCCAAAAAAGACCGTAGTAGATCGGGAAAAGGAGCTGGAAACCCAGTACTTGAACCTGCAACCCAACACATGGATCTTCTAGATCATATTTTTTGACCGCGAAGCTCGACTTGACGTCTGGACTCACATTGCGAGATGTACCTTCTGGCTCTTTGTTGTGTATCTTTATCAAATATCCCTGTTCTTTGTAGCCTCTGTCGATTGTACACTCGGGTGTGACAATCCTTGGTACCCAGTAAAGAACCTAAGATCAGAAAACTATCCGCCGATCCTTGTTTCAAAGCGCTAATTAATCTAGCTCGCTATGGCCTGGTCTGGCAGTGCTCTGCGTGGCAATGTCTTATAATAGCTCACCAGAAGGCATCATCCCTGTCGACGTAAGCACTTGAACTGTGCCTACCCGCCACAGCCACCATCTGTGCCCATCAGAAAAGTGTCACAAGAGGCAGGACGCATTGCTGATTGCTGCATTTCCCAGGCTATTGCTGGGTCAGGTAAGCTTGGCCCCCAAGTGTGCGCCATTTCATCATCATCCTTCTTCGTTACTCGGGACAGCCCAGCGTCTCATTGGCCTGCTTTTAATAATTGCCCAGGGCCCTAGTCCAAGCCTCAGAGTGGCATCATAGGGCATTTGCGGCTTCACGTCAGATTTGCCGATCCCTGGATTAATTGGTATCAATTGTTTGCGATGGCAGACTTCAGCCCTACCCTTCAAGGCGACCCGGCCTGCTGAAGCTCAACGGTCAATTGGGGCCTGACACCAGAACACTCGTCTCTCTGGCCGGGCAAATAATAATGCTGTGTTAATCACTCAGCCTATCGAAGAAGGTAGTTCAAACGGACCATATCTCCGGCCTTTTACTGCCGTGTGGCAAAAGTCCGGTCCATTTTATCACCGTCCTTGCCCGAGCTGATTGATTACCCTACACCCTCTTGACAGATCAATTGTTTAACATCATCTTTTAATTTACCAAACAACTCTTCTAGTCGAGCATGTAGTGGAATCCCTAATTACCAAAGTATCCTAATTAAATCTCTTTTCATCCATCCAAGGAGTGGAAGATTCGAGGCTGGCTATAGACGTACGATCGGATCGAGTTTTGACCCTTGAGTGCATGTGCCTTTCTGAATTGATATTTGATGCTTTTTTTCAACTACAGCCATTCGATTAAATTCAAGGTTTTGATGCGTCCTCGGAAGAGAGTCCGAGTATAAAGCTAAAATTAGCAATGAAATATGCAAGACCCGACATCTCAACACAATTATTCAATGCGTCCTCCTCATCCAAATGGATACCATGCGTAGATGATTCTCCTAGCATGTTACTTGACTCGGCCTCGTTGTCGTCTTAGACATATTTTTGAGCAGGGGACTACTTTGTCTCGATTCTCCGTGGACAATGATGGGCTCTACATATGCGACCACTCTCAAATGACCGCGTATTTCATCCCAGAGCACAGACGCTTAGTTCATGAATTAGCGATGTTGTATGCATGGTCGATTATCAAACATCTGAGAATGGATAGGTTTTACTTCACCTCGGATATTCCTTGAAATGAATCCATTTCTAGAGGGACCGAGGTTGAACGAAAGTTAACATTTTGACTTCATATTACTAGCTACATTTCTATTTCTTCATAAGGTGTTTGTTGACGGGGGTAAGGGGCTCCTGGCCAGAGAGCACAGCCAGCACATTTTGCATTGACAGCGCCTCAAACCCACTCTTCGTCTCAAACGCACCGCCAGCAGTGTGTGCCGTCACCGTGACATTACGGTTGTTGATTAGCCTCTTGTTCACGTTTGGCTCGTTCTCATGGACGTCCAGTCCCGCGCTGAAGACGTGACCGCTCTCCAGCGCGTCGGCAAGGGCTTCCTCGTCGATTAACCCGCCCCGGGCAATATTCACCACCCGCGAGCCCTTCTTCAGTTTCGAGATGCGAGGAGCATCGAGAAGCTGCTGTCCTCCCGGTGTGGCCAAGACAACACAGTCTGCCTCGGCGAGCATGTCGTCAAGCTCAGGGATACGACGTGCTCCTCCGATGGCGGCCTCCTGCTCAGCACTCTTGGGGTAGAGATCGTAGTAAATGATCTTCATACCAAAGCAGCGGTACGCCTTGGTAGCAATACGGTAGCCAATATTTCCCAGACCTACGACGCCGAGAATATGGTTCTGGGGGTTGTGAGCGCCCACGGGGGCGTTCTGATGGGCGTCGAGAAACTCGTCCTTGTTTCCACTGCGGGCAGCAACATTGCTCCACTGGATGTTTCTGAACACTGAAAGAATGTGATAGATGGCCATATCGGCAACGGCTTCGGAACTTGCTGATGCGCCGTTGCAGTAGAGGATACCGGCTTCCGTGAGCAGAGGAATGTCGGCCCAGTCATAGCCAGCACCGGCAGAAGTAAAAATCTTCAAGGACTTGGGAAGTAACGGGATCATCTCGGCGTCCCAGCGACCCATTTCAAGACCTGAGTTCCAGAAGGGACGGAAAACAGCCTGGAAGTCTCCCCATTTTCTGTCCCGTAGGGCTTGTAGCCAAGCATCGCGTTGTCTCTCCTCGAGTGAGGGCTGGATGATGGTGAAGGCTTTCTGTAACTCCTTGTAGATGTCTGGGTTAAACTCGATGTCATCTCCAAGATGAAGGATGACGGGTTTCTCTGTAGTAGACATGTTGGCGGGTATTGAACTAGCGGATCAGGGATGGATGACCAGGGCAATTGATAAGATGGATTCAGTCCAAGCACGAGCAGATAAATCAATCTTGGAATGGTTTGATGTCGACTGACCCTGGACCCGAGGATGGCACGAGGCGGGGTTTGCCTGCAAAGTCAGTTTGGCTCCTGACTCGGAATGTCTCCGCAACTCGCGATATTGGCGACGGCGACTGGAACTCAAACCATTCTCCCCACTAAAGAGTCGACCGCGAGGCACAAGCACGAGTCAATTAAGCAACGGCCCAGCAGTCGCCTGTCGCGTCGCTTGCGCTATACTGAAAAAGGGCGCAGTCCCCCGGCATGTCTCGCTTCGCAGTGGAGGAGGTGGATATCTGGTGGAGAAATGAATCAGCTGCTTCTCCTCGCATCGGCATTGAGCCTCCAGGGGATCCTCTGGGTGTCTCCAAAGGGAAGGGATGTCTCCGATTGGAACAAGTGATTCAGTTGTCTAGAAAATAAAGACTAGTACCTTACTAGTCTTTGACCTGTTGAGGGGGCATTTTGTGTTTGAGTTTCTCGTTTATCTTTGGTAATCATCTTCCGTTGAGGACTTCATAGTGACCCAAGCCAAACAGACATACTCGTTCAGTTGATTCTTCATTCGGGAATTCCGTCAATTCATCTGCAACCATGGCTTCTGTTACTGCTTCAAAGCCCTATCCTCCGGGTATCCATGTCCCCAGTTTGACATGGTTCCAAGGCACGAACGAACAAGAAATCGACTGGGATGTCCAGTCAAAGCACTTGGAGTTTCTTGTCAAGTCTGGCCTTCACGGAAGTAAGTGACTTTTAGGGCAATATACCATACTCCTCGCCTGTTGCTGACTTTAGATTCTCAGTCGTTCTGGCTGGTACCAATGGAGAGGCCGTCACTCTGAGCCACAGCGAAAAGAGCGAGCTCGTGCACCGCACGCGTGAAATCGCCATCAAGGCTGGTCGTCCTGACTTAACAATCACTCTTGGCTGCGGAGGTCAATGCACACGCGACGTCATTGCCGAAACTCGCCTCGCCAAGGATGCAGGTGCTGACTATGTGCTTGTGCTGACCCCAAGCTACTTCCACTTCGCCATGAACCAGGATGCGATTGTGTCCTTCTTCCAAGAGGTGCGTATCCCGAGTCATTTCCCCTAGGTAGGCCAAATTGAATGATACTGACCCTTGATACCAGCTTGCTGATGCCAGCCCCGTACCCATCGTCATCTACAACTTCCCCGGCGTTGTTGCGGGACTTGACCTGAATTCGGAGATGTTGGAGACTCTTGGCAAGCACCCCAACATCGTTGGAGTCAAGCTCACATGTGGTGGCATTGCCAAGGTAGCCCGTGTCCGAGCCGCATTCGAGCCAGAGCAGTTCAGCGCCCTGGCTGGACAGAGTGACTGGCTCACCCCTGCCCTTGCCGTCGGAGGTACGGGTGTCATTACCGGCATTGCCAACCTCTTCCCCAAGGTAATTAACGTCTACTCTAATCATCCTCGCCTACCCCAAAACACTGGAACTAGCTAACGCGTGCCTCTCTCCCCACTAGTACTGCATTGAGATCTACGATCTGTTCCTTGCCGGTAAGACCAAGGAGGCTGAAGCTGCCCAGCTCAAGCTGGCCAAGATGGAGTGGGGTTTTGCTAAAGGTGGTATTAATGGCACAAAGTGGGTGACGGCCAAGATCCTGGGATATCCTCTGGAGAGCTGCCACTGCCGACGACCTTATCCTCAATACGTTGATGCTGACAAGCAGGACTGGATCCTGGCCACTTGCAGTATCTTGATCGAGGATGAGGCCCAGCTGAACGCAAGAAATTGAATAGAATAGAATAGAAAAAGCTAGATTGCCATTGGAGTAAATGCATTGAGTTATCATCGTATGACTTTTAATTTAAAATAGATGATCTATGGGCTGTGATTTGCGAAACTCAGCAGCGGAGGTTGGCTTGTCACTTACAATGTGGCCATGCTCAACCCCTGATAATACTCCAAAACCAAGTCGTTGCCGTCGTGTGACTCTTTGAGACATCCCCAACCGCTCGAACCCCAATAATTCCAAGGTTTGATTCCCAAACTTGCGTAGTTGTTAGCATTCACTTCGTGTTGCATCGGACAACTCGCCAACATACATGGCTTAATATGGGCCTGAGTGATTTGGGCTAGCGCTGCCGATGAGAATAATTTCTCTCCATATTAATATTAATATATCACTCAGCTGCTAATAATGGCCGTCGCGACAGCCAATGCAAGTGCTTGCAGAGAGAGCCCGCTGTCGGCTCGCAACTGACTCTTTGGGCGACCTTCGCCGAGAGCATCTTCTCCATCGGCCCATGAGCATCTCGTCTCTCCACACGCAGCACAGCACCAACCAGGCTGCGGGCACTGCGGGGAATTCTCCCATTTTCCTGCACAGGTGCCCCAGATTCCCCAATTCCTGGAGTTCGTCGTCGGACCTGCACGAGCAGTTTGCGCCACTCCCCACATGGTCAGTCAGCTGGCCGTTTCCCACGAGAAAGTAGCGGAGCGGTCCTTCGCCTGTTTGAAATTTTTCTCCTCATTTGCAAGCCTCCCTGGATTGTCTGCTTGTAACTAAGGGAATCCACCTGGGGAGCGAACGTGGTCGTCTTGGAGGTTTAAATCTTCCCCTCAGCCCCCAACTGTCACCCTCCGGATTCTATCAAGCGACGAGTCACTCTGCTCGGGAAAGCCTCTTTGTTTACTGCTTATCTGCTTGATTACAATTAAGGTCGAAGACGATCAGAAAGAACAGTAGACATGGCTCCGTCGGCCAAGGAAGAGGTTGTCGGCTCCGCAACCCACGTCGGTGATGAGGAAATCGCCAAGCCCGTTCGCAATGAGTACCTTCTACCCAAACCAGAGAGCTTTGCGAACATGAGCGATGAAGATCTGGCCACTCTCCGAAAGAGAATGGTTCGTAAGATGGACATGGTCATCATGTGAGTTGCTGAAGAGATCGCAGTTGTGATATTCGATGCGGGATGACTGACAATGTTGGCGGCAGGCCTATCATGGGAATCCTTTACATTCTCAACTACGTTGATAGATCCGCCCTTGCAGCAACAAAGGTCTACGGCATCATGGAGGACCTCAACATGACCACCTCCCAGTTTGCGACCGCCATTACCTTCCTCTTCAGTAAGACGACCTTCAACTGGGCCTTGTTTGCCCTGTGTTCTAATTCGTGCCTTCCACAGTCGGTTACATCCCCTTCCAGATTCCTTCCAACTTGATCATGACCAAAGTCACACGCCCTGGTCTCTGTAAGTCATACAATCCAACCCTCGGCAGAGGACGCCGAGGCTAATCTTCTTAGACATTTGCTCTGCCGCAACCGTTTGGGGAGCCGTCAGTGCCTCTACCGCCGCCGTCAAGACATACCATACCCTCCTTGTCGTCCGAGTATTTCTAGGTGTTACTGAAGCTGTCTTCTTCCCTGGTGTGATCTACTTCCTGAGTGCTTGGTACACCAAGCAGGAGCTCGGAAAGCGTCTTGCTGCTCTCTACGTTTTCCAGATGATCGGCAGTGCTTTTGGTGGTTTCATTGCTGCTGCTTGCCTGACATTGGATGGGCGACATGGCATTGCTGGATGGCGCTGGTTGTTTATTGTGTAAGTTGTTGACCAGCATGAATCTCGGCCAAGTCCAAATAGTCTCTGACCGTATGTTTAGGGAAGGAGTGGTGACAATCGGTTGTGGCCTCATCTTCGCTATGATCATGCCCGAATATCCTCACAACGCCCGACTCCTTAAGCCCGTCGAACGAGACTTTGCTGTGTGGCGACTTGAATGCGAGGCTGGTGCCGGCGAAGCCAGCGAAGACACGACTACTCTGGGTGGTCTCAAGGCAGCACTGCTGGATATCAAGATCTGGGCCCTTGTCTGGTGTATGTTCATGTCTCAGGCAATGGGATCTACAAACAACTTCTTTCCGTCCATTGTCGAGACCTTGGGATACAACAAGATGAACACCATGCTGCTCACAGCTCCTCCTTTCATCTTCGCCGCCATCATCTTCTGGATTGTTTCTTACATCAGCGACGTTTGTCTCCCCATCTCCCCACTGCTAAGGGGCTATTTGGCTGACACCTTGATATAGCGCAAGAACATCATCTACCCCGTCTTCGTCGGCCTCCTATCCATGGCGTGCGTTGCCTATATTATCCCGCTCGCCACTACCAGCACTGCCGGCCGCTATGTTGCCATGATGCTCATGCCCGCATCCAGTACGTTGATATCATCTCGATTTTCGAGGGGCGCGCCTGTTGAAAACTAACTCGTATTGATTTAGCCGGACCCCAAATTCTTCTGTTCAAGACTCTCAACTTGCACATGGCCCGCCCTTACCCCAAGCGTGCCGCTGGTGTTGCCATGATCAATGCGCTTGGTGGCCTGGCCAACCTCTGGTCCAGCTATCTGTACTACAACCCCCCAGCGTACTACACTGCTTTCGGAACTGGTAGGTTGCGACTTGAATTTTGGAAAACACTTGGTTTTATGGTTACTAACAGTTTATGTCTGTAGTCCTCGCCTGCACTGTCGTTTTCTTCATCACCATTACCATCTACCGCTGGAACGTGAGGAGACTCAACACCCTGCTGGACGGTACCCCGGAGGATCAGCGAAAGGCTATGAAGAGCGGAGTTACCCAGCAACAGGTCGATCTCGGATGGAGGTACATCGGTTTCTAAAGTGGTTTCGAAAATAGCGAAATCGCCTGGCTACGACGGGTTGTGTGTTTACACTCTACTCTGGCCTGTCAGCGGCGAGCTCGACCAATTGCAAAACATTGAGCAGGAGCATTCAGGGGTGTCATGATATATGAGAGACCTCAGTTCAAATAATTATAGAAAGCGCTTTCTGGCTGAATAAAATCTGAATCATTAACGTCGTTGTTTTCTGCTTGTTTTACTGCTTCCCGTTATAGCGCCAACATCGTGACAGTATAGACAAACTA